TATATATATATAAATAATCTAATTAGATAAGTTTGATGTTTGAATCAGTAAAAACAAATAAAAATAGTGTCTTAAAATTAAAAATAATGGTTATTTCAGAAGTAATAAATTAACATAAGTTTAAAAGACAAATAACTAAATCAAACAATTTAAAAGATAAAAAATTAAAATAAATTTTAAAAAAATATAATAAAAGATTAAAAAGTGTATATATTTTTTTAATAGTGCTCTCATTTATGAGTACCTTACCTAAATACTTGTCTATCATAATAATATATGTAATTAATAATCTTTTTATATGTATACATTGCATCATAAGATAAAGAGAAGTCCTATTTTGACTTTCCAAGTTGAGTTGAGCTGTTTTATATTGCATCAGTTGGCTGTATAAGAAAAGTCGCGCCCGCCCTATCTATTCTGATTTAATGGTAAGCCAACAGTTTCTGCAATACATTTTCCTCCTTTCATTATGAGTTATGACCAGTCTCAATGTGTTCCCATTACCACTATACCACCTGTTTCAGGTACAAAAGAAAGTGAATTATCAATGTCTTTGGCTAAACACTTGGCTTTAATAATTTAGATACATCACCAAGCTGGCAGATCAACAGTTACCAACATCAAATTTGAGATTCAAATTTTCAAATGTATAGGCCACATTCAATGAATTAAGCTCCCATTGGTAAACAATTTAATTAACAAGGTCATAATGAGTAATCGAGATGAAAATAACAAGTTAAAATAATTTGAGATTCTCACGTAAACTAAAATCAACCTATACACTTAACTTTTATGATGCTCTCTCCAAAAGTTAAGTTGCATCATTGATCTTGGTTTGTTTCAGAAGTTCAATTCCTTTTCCCTTTTATGAGAGAAGTAAATTTCATTTTTTTTTTCTTTTGAGTGTTTATAGAAAAAATTATCCAAAGCCTTTATATATATTGTTTCTACAATTAAAGAGGAAATTGGATTCAACTATTCTCATATTAGGTTATTTTCACAAATTATCTCTGCAAGCTTATTGAAATAAGATAAATGCGGCATATAGATAAATCGTAAGCTATTTTCATTAGTTTTTCCAAACTCTTGTACAAGTGCTTATGTCACAAATAAGTTGTAAGTTAAGCAAACCCTAAATAGACTTAGAGACTATTTGAATAAATTTATTTAAAAGCACTTATCGAAAAAAGAAATAAAAAAAATTATTGAAATAAATTTTTTCATAAATTAAAATTAACTTATGCATAAATTAATAATAAAATTGCGAAAAAACTAATAAGAGAGAATTTATATAAATTAATTTATGCTTTAACTAATTTTAACTTGTGAAAAAAATCATTTCATTCATTCTTTTTATTTTTCTCTCTAAAAAGTATTTTTGGAGAAGTTTATCCCAACAAACCGCAAAACATTATTTTTTCATTTTATGTTCACTTGATCAACTACTGAGTTAATTAGAAAGTACCACGGATTGTTAAATAGCAAAATAATGCAGAATGGATATGAACCTCAGTAGGGACATGATATAGAGTTGGCCATTTGGTCAACATCCAATATAGAAACTTAGTGAATGTAGACAACTAGTTTAATGAGTTTAAGTTATATAGAAGTATAGCAGATTTTGGAGCAAATTCTGTCCTAAGTTGTAATTCTTGGGCTTAGAACTTCAGTCCAGAACTCCAGAGATTGCAGATGATGATGACTTTGAATAGCGTTCAAGCAATGAAAGTACCCTGGCAGCCTTTCTCCTGAGGTGGCCATCCCCATACACATTCATGTCAGTCAGTAACCTTGCTGTTGTACCATAGTATTCAACCATTTCCTTTGAGACAAACACCTTCTCCAAGAGTCCTAGAGCTTGTGCCTTGAGAGAATCACTTCCCCAATTCAGAATTTCCAATAGGGGTCTCATCGCATTTGACTCATGCAAGACAAGAGCTCCCCTTTGGGGAAAGTCTTCCAAAATCAATGTGGAAAGAGTCTGTATGGCTTCATAAGCAGTTGCATGAACCTCCCCATGTAACAGCTTTATCAAACCAGGCAAAGCATTGGCTTCCAATAGACAAAATGTGGAACTCACACTGCATACACTCCCATGTGCTGAACACAAAGGAACTTGTGATGATCTAAAACACTTGCACCACCAACCATTGGATTTGGAAACAGCAGTGAGCTTTGGAGTGCTCATAGAAAGATCACCAATGAATGCTGCTGCTCTTGCCTTTGCTGTTACTGAACCAGTGTTGAGAAAATTTACAAGCAAAGGATATATTCCTCGTTTAACCAAATCGCGCTGTGACTCGATGTTTGTGGGATCTGTGAACCTGAAGAGTGAACTGAGAGCATTTTCTTTTGCTTCCATTGTACCATTTTTCAAAATGCTTATGATTGCATCAAGGCCACCCAAGTCAATCAACTTCACAGTGAGTTCCCGTTCTGATTTTGGAAGGTTAGCTAGTAAACCAGCAGCAGCCATTTGCACATCATCATTCTGAAGAAACCCAACTAAAGCTTCTAGTCTTCTTGGCCCGAAGAGGTACTCGACTACTCCTGGTTCATGTTGGGAGAAAAGAAAGAGAAGATTTATGGCGGTTTCCCTGATTTCTGAGTCGGAATCATCAAGAAGGGGGAGGATTAGAGATGCCCCATTGGCTGCCACAACTGCTTTTTTAACTAAACTACTCTCAAACTTGCAAATGCCAAGAAGAGCGCGCAACGCAGGCTTACGGTAACAAGAGGAGTTAGGACTCTGATGTAGAGCTAGCAAATTGGTGATGATGTCATCTAGGTCAAGTTGTTTCCCTTCTCCGTCAACAAAGAAATCAATTCCATCATCATCTAAAGCAAGCTTCTCAAGGATTTCACAACATTTAATGGTAATGAATGCCTGTATTCGGCAAGAGAACATTAAATCTAGAACAAGAGGCACACCTCCTGATGCTGCAATAATCCCCTTATTGGTATGCAATCTTGATAGTTTAACCAGGGCTGACAATGACAGTTCTTTAGATTCAATGTTGCCAGATAACATTTCTAGCAAAGGAAGTATTACTCCTTGCTCGCCGAGGAGTTTCAAGTTCAAATCTTTCAAGTCCAATATGGCTTTTGCCATTGACATTCTTGAAGACTCCGATCCTATGAAGACAGAGAAGGACAAATAACTCCATTTAGTAAACTTTCTATCAAAAGGACTGTAATCAGTCAGGCAAAATTGCTTTATTTGGTGCATAATACACCAGATAATTTTAAGATACAAATTTGAAAGGGGAAAAACTGCCCAAATTTGAGTATTTAACTATGTACAAAACAAAATAGAGGAATCTCTATGCATCATAAAAACAAGTATATGAACAAATTAGCCTTTAATTTCAAGCAAGTCAATTTGGTCATCAGAACGCATTTTTAATCATAAATATTTTGACATGGAATTTTAAGGAAATATTTTTAACCACTAACATTGATGATTTTTCTCCAAATCTATGAATGGAAAAGGAATGAAATCTAATACATGGATATTTATCAGTTCTTTTGAATTTTTAATGAACATTCATTTTACAGAAGTTAACAAGAGAAGAAATATTGTATTTCCTCAGCTAGCCAGATGACAATTGACAAGGTATCCTTGTATTTTCTGCCACCGCATGCCAGAAATATGTTGAATAAAATGAAAATGTTCACTGCATGATCTCACCACAATAAAGATAAACTAGAAGAAAAAAAAATATATCTTACCTTGAATCATGCAATCAATAAGTGGTTTGTACCAGCCAAACATTGCAGCAGCTGAAATGATTTCCTCGTCTATTTCAAAAAGCTCCACCAAAATCTTTTTGGAGACTGCAGCTGAATCACTTACAGGACCCGTTAGAAGAGTGACAAGGTAAGAAACTGCACTTTGATGCTCGGAGAGTTTTTTGCAGAAAATTTTATTCCAACCAGATCGGTCTTGAAGCAGCTCATATAGCAAATCAATTGCCTCCTTTGAAGTTCTAGAGTCGCTCCCTAAGCAGGAAATAATGTGATACCAACCTTGAGATTCAACCACTTTTTCCTATAAATTTTTATGCAAATATTGAGTTTAAATTGGTATTCAAGTTTGCAGGTACAAATAGAAATTTAAGACTCAAGAATCAATAAATGGGGTAAAACGGTGGAAACCATACAAGTTGGTACCATGGAATCAGTGAACCAAACTAAACAAGTAACTACTTTAAAAGTGTTGTGCTCAAGAAGATATGATCAATAGCATATTCAAGGAAACTCACACACATATTAAACCATAAACTGCAAGAACCTAGGTGAAAGTGGGGGTCTAAATGAAGCAAGGAAGAAGATGCGAAGAAAATTAGTAGAATGCTGCCTACACCTCAGGGCAGCACGTGTATTCATACCTTGTTTCTTGAATGCCCCTCTACAGCATCCTTCAAAGTAACCAAAATCTTCATCTTCGTATCTCTGGAATCAGAGTTCCCAAGGATAGAGATAATAATATCAGTAAGCTCTCCAATAGAAATCCAATCCTGGTTAATGGAATTCTCTCTTGTGAGAGCTTGCATTTCGCTCAGGGATTCTTGCACTAATATGTCAGAATTGGATAATAGGCTTTCCCTGATAGACCTTATTCTAAAGCAGTAATTAACTTCTTTCCACTCTTCTATGGATTCTCTTAATCGAACATTTGATCTAAAGGTAGTATCTTCAAGAACCTCTTTTGTTTCTGGATCAGTCCTGTTGCCATCATCAAACCAAGCTTCAATGGCAGATCTCTCACATGTAGTACCAGTGCAAAGGCTGACAGGATCTACCATAACAGCTCCAGTTATGGGACAAAGGAAAGAATTGAGTGGTGGTATATATTTTTCCCTTGAATCATATCTCTCTATTACCTGAACCCTTTTAAAATATTGCTTCTTAACTTCTTCATAATCCCTTGCAGCATCTGCTCGTGATAGTAGCTCAATTATATGTTCCAAAAAAAGAAATTCAGCTCTTTCTTTTCTGTTGGCTGCTTCCTCCCTTTCCTGCCTAATGCTGGCTAGCTCTTTGCTAATCTCTGAAGGCACCACTGGCACCCCAACTGCCCTTGCTATTTCCTCAAGCATGTCATTTACGAAAGCCTGATCTAATTTCTGCTCCCTCATTCCATGGTTCAACTTGCCAACAATTTGAAACTGAGATTGTGAAGCCTCAAACTCCACCTTTTGTATCTCATTTTGTAGTTTGTCAACCTGATCAGAAATTTTTGATAGGACTTCAGTGTTTGCAATGGACAGTGCAGCTACAGACCTTCCAATATCCCTCGTGACTTGTTCAACCTCCTTGACTAAGCATCTGCACCTCACCAGCGGGTAAAAGCGGCCATGGTTCTTGTACTTCTCAACCAAATTATTCGCCTTTTTGACATCTGATTCAAGAGACTCCAGAGCAACCCTTGTAGCTTGAGACTCATTCAATTCCTGAAGCTGTAATTCCTTTAGGACTGGTGCAATATCAAGCAGGTGTTTTGAAAGGATCTTGAAACTTTCTTTATCCGTAACAACATCGATTGCTGTATTAGCTGATTTCACAACATGGCTGCTTAGAACAGACAAAATTGTACCTACGGGTATGAGTTCCAATCCAACCATGGTACAATATCAGTACTGAATTTCTAATCAAACCTATTGCCCAGAGGTTAGAAGTTGAAACCAACACCGGAAAATAGCTTCTCTTTTTTTCCTGCAACCAAATTCCTCTTGATCAATCTTCTTATAGAGCATAAAAGAATTTTCAGTATTAACTCATTAAATAAACTAGTAAAACTAACAGATACCATGACAGATATATTAGGAATATTTGAGATATTTTTAATATTGAGATCTTTATGATAATACCTCTTGCAGCAATCTGCTTGAAACTTACAAAATCAACTGTAATATTCTGTTTAAACTTTTGCAAGTATATTGAAAATTGCAATACATGAATTCTTATCCTATCTAATGGAAAATGCAAAATGTAAATCACAAGTATAGCTTGAGTATGTAATTCAAAACAGCCGGAATCCATATGTTTCTACCTTTTCAAATACAATTGATCTCTATTTCATTTTTGGGGTGCTTAACACTACAAGCAATATAACAGAAATTAACTGAATATGAGAACCAATCCCCAACAGAAGCAAACATAAAATTGTACCCAAGCTGTAACCAATATAATTCTAACATGAAGAGGGCAATGGTGTTCACATGACAAGGTGGTGCATAATAAATTGGGGAAACAAAAGAGAGGGAGAGGGAAAAAAATAACAATTAAATAGACATGAAAATCATGACAGAAATCAACAAAGTAAAAAAGAAACACTATATTCATATAAGACCTTTCAAGTATAGATTCAAGTATTTTCAAGCATATACAATGAACTGCAACAATTAGGCCTTTCCCACTCCCTTCAAAGACTGAATGAAATGAAACACAAAATTCTTGCCACTGATTCCTGGGCACCCCATACTATTTATATGTTAAGAGAGTAAACAAACAAAAGCGTAGCACGTACGTTCATTTTCATCATAATATCATTCTCGTTCAATTCAAAATCTATAATCATTTCCCAGCAGGCTGGTGGGGACAAGGAAGAACCAAAACAAATGGAGTTGTGAAGGTGTATGATGAGGGTGGAAACGACTTTGAGCAAGTCAATATTTCCCGGGAAAAGCATAGGAAACTCAGGTTTTTCAAGAACTCTATCTTTCAAGAGACTACATGAGTTGGGAAAGTTGGGTTTAAAGAATGCTTAGAGAAGCTCCATGGAAGTTAGGTGCAGATGACCATTTCAATAAGCTAAACTGCTAAACTGAACACGTTTTCTCATGTAGTGCATTTCACTGCGAGGTATCTGACGTTCATGAGTCCATGCCAACGTCTATAATTGATTTGTCGTGTGATAATGAAAATGTTAACGTTGACTCGTTTACTTAAAACTTTATTCATTTCTCAGTAGGAAGTTTCACTGAAAATAGAAAGTTTAGATAAGCCATCGTAACATTCATTAACATGAAATATTTCCAGACAAGTATCAAATATTTATGTCAAACAAACACGATAATTGGATAAAAAACCAAACATGAATAACTTGACAGCCCAATTTTATGCGTGAAGATCGTGCAAATTAAAAATGGATAATAAAGCAACGAAGAAAAGGCATGCGATTGTGTATTGGTTTCATTAATATAGCTTCAATGGAAGACAAGTTCATAGATATGCAGAACCAACCATTGAACCTTACAACGAGAATATCACACAATGTTGCTAAATTTTCCACCATCCGGATGTTTCTCCTTGACTTTCCCATTAGATAACAACCACCGCTTAAACAGAAAATATGATAAAAGCAATCAGGATCACCACTAGCATTTCTTTTTCGCTAGATTTGAAGGTACCAATTAATCCAGAGTGGAGCTTTTGGTAGACCATTGCACCAAACTATCTAAGCTTTTGAAAAAACAAAAAAAAACGTTTATTTTTATTTAGAGTGGTCTATAAATCATTATTTATTATTACACATAATAATAACCATATTTACTGCATAATAAGTGATACTGTTACACAACCACTGGTGCAACCAAATCAACCACATGGAGCATCAGGAACTGCTCCTTTTACGTGCCATCTCCCGCGCCATCTCCCTAAGTTCCTCCGGTGATGGTGGCCTTTCTGCCTCCGGGGGATATTCAATGTATGACTTCTGTAACATAATAAGAAAATATGGTTCAGAAGCCATATAATAGATTATAGATCAAAACAATTACAAAATGATTGCATTCATGCCCAGTATAATAAGAATTCAAAGCCATCAAGCCAAGATAATAAATTTGGCAAACATGCTGTAGCTACTGTAGTATAACATAATATTAGGCCATCTCTGGTGAAAGGCTCTTATATAGGTTCTTAAAATAAGAACCAGTTCTTTTTTTCTTTTTTATCATTTGAGTACAGTGACATAGCTTCTACGTGTAAAATTGATTCTTAAAGAACCCATAAAAACCGGGTTCTTGCAGCTAAAAAAGAAGAAAGTAGATCCATTGTTGAACCCACATAAATTGAATTAAGAATCAAAGTTAGATTCTTCCACTAGAATAAAAACTAGAAATAGTTCTTAAATCCTACAAGGCATTTAAGGGCCCACATAAAGGGCATAAAGAACCTAAAATAGGTTCTACTATTAAAGATGCTCTAAGATTTCATTCATGAAAACTTAATTAGCAATCTAAATTTATATCCAACAACTAGTCACTAGTATGTAACATATTGAATACTAAAGGTACAATTCAATAAAACCCCAAGTTATTATACTTCACTTGCTTATTGCGCATTTAAACTTACTGGTTAGTTTTATCTGAAATTATTTAATCCGATTTCAGGTTGCTTCAATGTGCACAAGTGATAGATATATCGTTCCACCCTAACAAAATACTCTATTTCTTTGATTTTACCAATATTTATAAATAAATTTTGCACTTCTATAAGTTAAATTGTTGCACCCTCACAGTCCAATGTATTTTAGAGAATTTATGATATGTTCTGAATCTGAAGGAAGAAAATCCAACTTCAGCTCATGATTCTACCATTTACTTCAATCCTTCAAATCAACAATGGAGTAAAACGAACTTCTCTAACAATCTATGAGTTGTCACCTTTTAAGGACAACATAAAGATGATCAGGGGAGACTCACTCTAAATCTCTCATGTTTTTTCATCACAAGTGATGGAATCAACACACTGTCCCTTTTTTGTTCAGAATGGAAGCATCACTCCAAGATTATATTACATGTGGATAACCCTCTACCTTATTAGCAAATATCAGATTTTTGGGTGAAGCAATAACTCCTCTACTACCAAATGCACACAATCAAGCATCTTTGGAGAAACTAACTTTTCTATAAATTTTTGTAAAGCAATAAGCAAGTTTGGATAAATTTTTCCAAAAGCACTTATAGGAGAAAAAAATATAAAAGAAAAATGAAATTAACTTTTCTATCAATTAAAAATAACTTTTTTGGAGAAACTAATATGACAGTTTCTACAAGTTAACTTATACATAAGTTAATTTTAGCCTTTAGAAAAACTAATTTCATTTATACTTTTTATAAGTATTTTTGAAAAAGTTCATCCAAATAGGTCCATAGTATCCCGTCATAGATAAGTACACTCTTAATTCGCAAAATGCAGAGTAGTGATGTAACAAATCAATGCATTTTCAATCCTGTTATTCGTAATGAAGTCCCAAGACTTCCATAAGACTTATGTAATATCAGTTATACGGTAACCTAAGAAAGCGGCAAAAATATAAACCATTCATGAATTAGCCACTGCTTACTCTCTGACCAATGCCCCAGTTTACAAAATGCAAATTTGAAGCACATAACACAACCAAAAAAGTCTTGAAAAAAGGTCAACTAGATCTGTTTTATCTTGGCAATAATTTATAGTTTGTTGGGATAAACTTAATCATAAACACAAATAGCAAAAAAAAAAAAGTAAGAAAAAAAAAAAAAAACTTTTGCACAAGCTAGCTATACAGTTAAACATGAATTAAAATATAGTTTTGAAGAAGCTAATTGAAGACAACATCTACTAATTAGCTCATTCATATACTAATTTAAATTTTTTAAATAAGCTTTTTTTTTTTTTCCCCTTCTTATACTGTTATCTTTATAAGTTTATCCATACAAACCCGTTTAAAACACAATTAAGAGAATTACGAAGTCGTGAATCAACAGAAGTAGCTCACTCAACAGAGGCATAAAAAAAATGAATGTTTTGGTGAGCATTGATTAGATAAAAGTACATAAAAGCTAAAAAGATAGAATTAGATATGAGAAGAGGGAGAAGGAGAATACATGTCCCATGAACTTGCGGAGATTTCCGGGATTGTTGGCGAAAGTGTACATGAGAATGATGGGAACGGTAACATACACACCGAACTTCGCAATCTCTAGAATCCCTTTCGAAGTGCCCAGCGATGACATCTTTCCTTTCTTCTATCTATCTATCACAAACAAATATCAATAGCAAGTGTTTCAAATTTCAATTCAATCAATGATGCAAAATCAAAACCCAAACAAATATTTCACCTGAACCGACTGAAGTGTAGTGAAGCCGATAACACAAAACCAGGCGGTGGAATGAAATGGAACACAAGACACTATTAAATGCCTTTTCTTGGCCCAACCTAACACACTTCCACTTTTCGGACTTCCTATTCACACCCTCTTTTTCTCTCTTCACACTCATGCCGCTTTCTTTTGTAATTAAAAAAATCTTAAATATATATTTACGGACATGTTTTAATTTTAGTCTTTGCAAAAAAAAAATTTCATCTTTTCAAAAATTTTAACATTATTTTTTTTATCTAAAATGAAAAAAAAATGATTTTGATAAAATATTTTTGTTTCATTTTCATTATTTTGAAATCTAAAGCCATTGTTTATAATCTTTAACAATCATTTTAAAGTAGTTAAACAACACTTATTTTAAGAATTTATGAAAATTTTAGAAGTTTTACATTTTAAAATAATATCACAAATAGTTATGGGTATCATATTACTTAACTTTCTAAGAAATATATAATTAGTAACAAGGACTAAAATCAATTATTTCAAAGTCTAGAGAGATGAAAAATAAAAAAAAATAAAAATCATAGGAACCAAAATCAAAATATGCTCAATTTGTAATGACTAAAATAAATTTAAACCTTAAAGAATAGAATCTATGAAAACTAATTTTTGGAATTTTTTTCATAATTAATAAACTTTTGAAAAGTACTAGGCTAATAATAAACTTTTATTACATAAGAAATTATGTCATAAATTTAATTGTGAAATTTATTAAAATAAGTTTAGGAATAAATCAGAAAAATCATTAAAGAGATTATGAAAATCATAACCTATTTTTATAAATTTAATTTATTTCTCTACACACCTTCCAAATGCCTCCAAAAGATAATAAGATTGTAATTATTTTAATTCTAACGTGGGCTTATTAGCAGAACACATGGGCTCTCTACTTCGTTTCAACCCAAATGCTTTTAAAAAAATCCAACTAAAAGAATAAAGTAGTATTATTACTTCCTAAAATAGTTAAAACTTTGAAGGTTGCTGAGAAGTTGACACTGTCAAAACCTTCCCTTTGTGCTCCCTTTGTTTGTTTATAATATATAGAATAGACATGGATAGAAGTCCTGTAGAATAACAATCAAATAAGTACGTTGATATTATATATAGGTATGTAAATTTAAGCGTGATAAATCTACATTGTTCATTTTTCGTTTCATCAGTGAGCAAAGCTCATATTATTTAAAGGCCCCTATGCTTGCTTAGACCCGAAACTTGTTTTCCTGATCATTTCAATAATTAACAAATTCTCAAACAAATGACATGAGGCTTGTTCATAGACGATGTGCAATAGAACTAAATAGTTCTTAATTCCTTTTTACAAAAATAATTTATTCCTAATATATTTGTCTGGTATTCAGAAGAATGAACCTTAGATATCTCGTGTTAGAAAATGATTACGGTGTGCTTCCTAGAAATTTGAACATAATCAAATCGGGGGTTTCTAAATCCAGTTGACAGAATGCAATCTTTATGTTAGTTAATTATCTCAAGATGTCAACATCTCGTCCAACAAAAAAGAATAGAAAAGTTAGTTATGCACCTATTAATTTCATCAATAAATCACATGTTATTATTGTTAATCAAAAGTCACGCCTTCCTAGCAAAGCAAAACACTTAGATATCAACATTGAAGAAAACTACGATCATTATCCAATATTAATCTCAGCTGACTTTCATCCTCATTGGGCTAAGTTATTTTTATTTGAATTAATCACTTACATACCGCAGTGTAAAGTTTTTTTACACTGACAACCAATTATATCTTTTAATTATGCCATATCACTATAAACACATTTACTTTTAACAGTGACATGACACAATTAAAAGATATAATTGATTATCAGTGTAAAAACACTTTACACACAGTGTATAGGTAATTAACTCTTTTTATTTATTATTACGTGTGGGAAATTAATGAGCAAAGGAAAAATTGTGTCTCGGTTCTCAACATGCAGGGTTCATCAAGGGTTTACACGAGTAATATAAGAATTCCAATGACTGTTTCCTTCTTTATAATATCTTAATGTATGCCCACCATCGTATCGAATATGATAGAGAGAGAGGGAGAGAGAGAGAGAGAATTAAAGGGATTTCTTGTTTGACAGAATCATGTATTGTGAGTAAAATGTGCTTTTATGTACTGTTATGGTTGCAAGGAAGCATTTTTTTTACAAATGTTAATTCCATATGCTAAATTTTCATCTTCTAACCAACAGAAATGATGTAGGAAAAAGCTCTCATATTTGGGAAGAAGCAAATTCATACTGGGAGTGCCGGTACTAGAGTCAGTGAAGCTGGTGCTATGTGCAAGGACATGTGCATAATAATCTCTGTTGAGCACAAGGGAGAGTATACATAATTGACACAAGAATTGTTTGTTTATAACTTCAGTTCTAACTGAAATCAAACAGGAGCTAGGGAATTGGTGAGAGTAACAACCAATGAGCTTTGCTATAGGCACAATAATTTTTCCCTGCTATGTTGAAGCTCAAAAGCAAATTAGTGAATCAGATAGGCACTCATCATCTCAGTCTCAGATGGATCTTGTACTGTACACAAGTTTGGAAAAGTTAACTTTGTAGAATTAAAGTGACTCGAAACCTTCAAGTATTTTTGTTCAAGCAAGCCTTCATGACAATTCACAACCTGGAATGGAATGGAATGTTATGGAATGAAAAACTAGCTGTGCTAAGCCTAATGGTCACAAGATCTGTAATAAAAAAACAGCACATAATTTGCTTCCACTTATTGTAGGATGCTACTAATGGACTGCTTAATTGGCTTTCAGAACAGGAAAAAAAAAATCCGCAAACTCAATCTGATCAAGAAAAGAATAGAGGCAGAGACAGTAAAAGGATGGGCCTAATTATTCAACCTACTGTGACAATCATCTCAAAAAACAGTACAAGATTGGTCCGTTACAAGGCATCCTTGAAAAGTGCCCTATCATCACTTCATTTTAGCTTCTGTAAACAGCACATGTCGATTAACCCTAGGATCATATTTTCGAAACTCAAGCTTCTCTGTGAACTGTCTTGGTTTCCTCTTAACATAGAAGAATCCAGTCCCAGCAGCAGACACTAGTTTCACAAACATCTGAGCCTTCTTCTTCTTGTCACCCATTCTCTTTACTCTAGCAAAAGACAAATGAATCACTATCACAAAACCAATAATTGCTTAACACGATCAGCTGCAATCTTTGTTTCCTTTTACCAATTAAAAAAGTACACCTGGGAACTACTTCTGATAACATTGTCTTATAAGTTGAAACACCAATTCTATTCTATACAAAATCAACCTAAACTTTGAGGTCCACAAGATATAGCATCAATTTTGGTTGTGCTTGGGGAATAAATATCATGAATTCAACTCCAAGATAAATGTATATGCTAAGAAATTGGGAAGAAACTGCTATCGTTGAAACAGGTAAATCATAAAAGAAAACCAGGATGCTTATGTTTTTTTCTTCACAGTTTCATGTTAACGATAAACTAATGTCGACATACAATACAACCTTGGTCAAATGTACGAAAAAACAATACATTCAAACAAATCTTACGGAGAATAAAAATAAAAACAAAGAGAAAGACATCGGTGAAGAATGAATCAATGAAATCATAATGAGGGAAAAGGAATACCTGTAATTGAGAAGATACGAGATCGAGAGGGACCAACTGAGATCAGCGTTTCTGAATGAAAAGGGGAAAACGTGGGTTAGGGTTTTCTGTCATCTATAGTATGTATGATCCTCTACTTGCAACTAATCTCCTACTCTCTCCAACTTTAACGTGGACCGCTAGATATGTGTAATAAAATAATTGTGAACCGTTGGATTGAAATGAATGAGGCACCATAGTTAGTTAGGTATTGTGTACAAGGTTGTGGAACAGTCCATGAACAATTGGACATGCAAGTGGAGTCAGACTATCGTGGGCTTATGCAAGATTCCACCTAATGATGGGCCTAAACAACCTCAAAAGCCCAAATAAATAATTTCAAGGGTGCTCCCATACCCATTCCCATATACAAGGATATGTTGGAAAATATACTAGACTTTGTCTCAAATTATATATTGGAGAAACAAATAACCTCAAAGGATAATGGGTTGGTAAAGTATCCTAATTGTTTTATGCGGCTCTAGTTGAATCAAAAGGGCACCTAACCTAACCCCCTATTTCTTTTGGTGAGATTGTCGTTTGGGTGTTAATCCAGTTTAATTAAGTGGCCTCTCACTAAAGCACAGTACTTTGTTTGCATCAAATGTCTTTTCTACATTGATTTGTTCTTCTAATTGTCCATAATGAAGCTTATAGAATAAACTAATGACATGACATGGACATAATATCTAATACCCTCTTCTTAATGGTTGAAGCCTTGAAGGCATCTAATAATATCCTCTTATTAAGCCACCTCGGCATTGACCTCTCATCAATCATTCCAAGCAACATAACAGGTTTCTCTTCACATCTCACTAAGAAAACAAAACCCTATTTGCCATTTCTTCTTAAATCCTGCTTAGCACAAGTTGTTGCACTTTCTTTATTGCAGATATTTTTACTTTGATGTTGAGATGTGGTTTAAAATAATTACAACTTACATCGACAAGAGCGACATCGCACCTTGTTACAACAATAATAGCAGCTAATTTGCTACGTTAATCGGATTTCATATTTCAATGTTTAAGCTGGCTAATTTGTCGATCACTAGTGTCTTGAGTAGAGGGAATTGGAAATAATATCAATGAAACAGTTGATTAGGAAAAACAATGTTCTTAAAATTGGATATTAATTAACTCGATTGTTGACTTGCAATTTATGAAGCAGATTTCAGATTTGAAGATTGTTCCAAACTTCCTATATGCACAATACCTATATTTATACATATGTTCCACCGGATAATATTGTTCAAAAATACTTAAAAATCTGAAAGAAAATTATTAAAATTAGGTTCTCCATATATAAATTAAAACTAGTTTATGTATGAGTTAAAAATCAAATTTTAAAAAAGTTAGTAAGAGATAATTTTTAGTACGTTAATTTTAATTTATGAAAAAATTAATTTTATTTTTTTCTTTTTTATTTTTATCGTAATTCTGGAAAAGTTTATTAAAATTGTAAGTAACATCATTCTGCTAAACTAACTGTACGTATAGCTTTTCGGGAGTATTTTTTTTTTCTTTTTTCTTTTCTTTAATAATGATAAATATATTTTAATTTATTTTTACTGAAGGGTGTCTAGTTTAGAGAGTCGGGGTTTAGGGGGAGTATGAGTATTTCTCTTTACAATTTACATATTATTTCATAAGCACGTATTTGCGGTATATTTTGGTCAGTTTGTATTTTTTAATAAAATAAAATATTTTCATTTTTAAATATATTTGTATAAAGCATAAACTTTATTTTTAAAGCTATTTTCTATTTTTTTTTAAAAAACAACTTCGATATACTTTGTAAAAATTTACCTTTTTAAGAATCACTATTTTTAGAAACATTTTTCAAAAACATTCGTAAGAATTTGGGAAAATAGCCTTTATACATATATATATATATATATATATATATATA